TGGAGAATCCACCACTTCCCTTCGCAGTTTGTTCCAACGATTAATCACCCTCAGTGCTAAACATTTGGCCCTTATTTCCAACTGGAATTTGTCTGGCTTCAGCTTCCAGCCATTGGGTCTTGCTCTGCCTTTCTCCGCTTTACCAATGCTTTTCACCCCATGAAAGTCTCCACTTAATCATCTTTTGATAAGTTAAATATCTGATGCCCTTTTAGTCTCTCACTGTCTGGCATTTTCTCCAGCCTCCAATCAGTTTTGAGGCTCTTTTCTGCACCCTCTCCAATTTCTCAACAGCCTCTTTGAAATGTGGACCCCAGAACTGGACACAGTTGGTTTCACCAATGCCATGTGCAGAGGTAAAATCCTTCCCCTGCTCCAACTCACCTCTCCCCTGTTTATGCATCCGAGGATCGCATCAGCGCTTTTGGCCACAACACCTCACTCGGAGCTAACAATGAGTTGGTTGTCCACAGTGACCCCTAAATCCTTTTCAGGGTCCGTGCATTCCATAATACAGTGCCCTAGTCCATGGGTCAGGCCTGCATTGTCTGTTCTGAGAGTATAACTTTTAATGTGACTGTATTAAAACAGTTTGTTTGTATGGGCCCAGCTCACCAAATGCTCCAGATCAATCGGTATTGCCTGCCCTGGCCTCCTCATTGTAACCACTCTGCCAAGCTTTTGGTCAGCTGCAAATTTTATCTGCAGTGATTTTCTATTTCCTTCCAGATCAGTGATGAAAATATTCAGTAGCATCAGGCCAAGAACTGATCACCGCAGAACCCCACTAGAAACACCCCCATTCACCCCCATTGAGAGTGGCTTTCTGAGATCTGTCAGTTAGCCAGTTTTTAATCCACTTTACATGTGCTCTTCTGATATTGTAGTGTTCATTTTTTATCTGAATGTTTTTCCTACTAAATCAAATGTCTCAGGGAAATTGAAGTTTATTGTACCTGCGCAGTACCCTTGACCAGCCAAACATGCTCTTTAAAGGATCTACTTAGTTTTACTTGACAAGACCTGTTTTCCATAAACCATGTTGTTTACAGGCATTAATTATATTCCTAGACTTTTTTTTAACTAATCCCATACCAGCTTTTCCATTGTTTCCTAATCTTGTGAGACCTTTTTAAAAAATTTTCCTTTTTTAAAAAATACTTTACATTTAACACAGAACTGTCCTGTATTTGCCTTTTTTGTGTGGCTCTGCTACTGACAGATTGTGCACTTCTACTTCCGAAGGAGCTGTGTGGTTGATCAGTCAGTTTGTAACTCTAGTGTTCGTAACTCTAAGCATCCACTGTAGATGCTGTTTAACATTCTCCTTGGCAGCTAATGGACTGGGCGGTATTTCATCACTTCATGTGATATGAGTACATCATACTGCTTCTTTCTAAATGCAGAACAAAACTATTTCTGCAACACATGTACGCTATCTGCAACATTAATGAGAATCCTTTCTCCCTCTAGGAATTGGCCTAAACCTTTTCTAGGATTTCTTTTGTTCTTAATATACTTAATAACCTCCTTTTTGTTATCCTCAGCATTGCCAAGCATGGATTTTTCTCTGATGCCCTTAACATGCCTCATCAATTTTCATATCTTCCAATTTGTATTACTTGCTATCAAGAAACGGGGGGAGGGATAGCTCAGTGGTTTGCGCATTGGCCTGCTAAACCCAGGGTTGTGAGTTCAATCCTTAAGGGGGGCATTTAGGGATCTGGAGCAAAAATTTGTCTAGGGATTGGTACTGCTTTGAGCAGTGTGGTTAGACTAGATGACCTCCTGAGGTCCCTTCTAACCCTGATATTCTATCATTTTCCGTTTTTTCCCTTTGTTATCTATTGCTCCCCCGCACATTCACTTTGCCACTGAACTGGGATTTTAGCCAAAGTTCTCCACTTCCTTGACTGTGGAATCGTGACTATTTAGCTATCCAACAAACTCTTATTAATGAATTCCCAAGTTTCATTCCCATTTTTCTGTCCAATATTTTCCTCCCAATCAGTTTTCTTGAAAATTTTCTTCAGTTTTGGGGAATTAGCCCTTTTGAAGCATTAAGTATCTATAGGTATTACTGCTTGGGAATGGTTCTCTGTTTGTCCAATTGAATGTAATCAGTTCTATTCTTTCCCTCTATCATATGCCCCCGTTATTGTCTCTTCTCTAAAGTAAACTGTCCCATATGTTTCAGTCTGTCCACATATGGCAGCCGCCTGCATTCTCAGAGCCTGTCTCGGAAATCCCCTTTATAATGCTGTATCCTTTTTAGAGACTGGGTGACCAAAACTGAGCACATACCCAGAGCAGGTTATTCTCCATCCCATTCCTTAGGCACCCAAACATTGTCTTTGATTTGGCCATTGCTGTGAATGAGCAGGTGTTTCCATTGAGCTGCTATCAAAACCCAGGTCTTTTCCCTGAGGTATGTTCTAGTTCGGATGTTTCTCCCTGGCACATAGAATCATAGAATATCAGGGTTGGAAGGGACCTCAGGAGGTATCTAGTCCAACCTCCTGCTCAAAGCAGGACCAATCCCCAACTAAATCATCTCAGCCAGGGCTTTGTCAAGCCTGACCTTAAAAACCTCTAAGGAAGGAGATTCCACCACCTCCCTAGGTAACCCATTCCAGTGCTTCACCACCCTCCTAGTGAAATAGTGTTTCCTAATATCCAACCTAGACCTCCCCCACTGCAACTTGAGACCATTACTCCTTGTTCTGGTATCTGCCACCATTGAGAACAGCCGAGCTCCATCCTCTTTGGAACCCCCTTTCAGGTAGTTGAAATCAGCTATCAAATCCCCCCTCATTCTTCTCTTCTGCAGACTAAAAAATCCCAGTTCCCTCAACCTCTCCTCATAAGTCATGTGCTCCAGCCCCCTAATCATTTTTGTTGCCCTCCACTGGTCTCTCTCCAGTTTGTCCACATCCCTTCTGTAGTGGGGGGACCAAAACTGGACACAATACTCCAGATGTGGCCTCACCAGTGTTGAATAGAGGGGAATAATCACTTTCCTCAATCTGCTGGCAATGCTCCTACTAATACAGCCAAATATGCAGTTGGCCGTCTTGGCAACAAGGGCACACTGCTGACTCATATCCAGCTTCTTGTTCACTGTAACCCCTAGGTCCTTTTCTGCAGAACTGCCGCTTATCCAGTTGGTTTTGGCAAACGTGTTTTTTTTTTTTTTTTACACTCTCAGATTTTGAGCAACCGGGTGAATAGGGAGCTCCCTACAGCATGGACTCTCTAGCCTGGTTTTCATTGCATTAAGGAACAATGACGGATAACCAGTATCCACACTTGTGTTTCCTGCTGGTGATTATTAAGGTTTCCCACACCATGACATGTAGAATTATTAACTCATGGAGCACCATCAAATATGGAATTGGCATTAGTAGGGCCAGTTGTTCATAATTCATTTCTCTGAATAATGAAAATGTCATTTTTCAGTGTGTGAAGAGCGACCAATCTGCTCCCCCAATGAGAACAGCCTCCAGTAGTGCATGTAGTGTCTCATATTCACATTGCCTCTCCATCCAGGTATTTGTACTGCAACCATCACCCTAGAGCATCGGCTCACACAGGAAGTCTGGTGAATGTACGGTACATTCAGGAGACACCGTTCTGCCTCTGAGTTGGACACCTTCTCCCCTACTCCATGTCAGATTCCAACACAACCGACTTCACTAACCCCTCCACCTTCATCCTGTTGGGCATTCCTGGCCTGGAGGCAGCCCACGTCTGGATCTCTATCCCCTTCTGCGCCATGTACATCATAGCTGTCTTGGGGAACTTCACCATCCTCTTCATTGTGAAGAGGGAGCCGAGGCTCCATGAGCCCATGTACTATTTCCTCTGCATGCTGGCCACCAGCGACCTGGTCGTATCTACGTCCATTATGCCCAAAATGCTGTGCATCTTCTGGTTCAATTCCAGGGAGATGTATTTCAGTGCCTGCCTTACCCAGATGTACTTTATTCACTGTTTTTCAGCGATGGAGTCTGGCATCTTTGTGGCCATGGCTTTTGATCGCTATGTGGCCATTTGCAATCCTCTGAGACATTCCACCACCCTAACAAACCCTGTGGTGGCTAAGATTGGCCTGACCGTTGTGCTGCGTGGTATCATGCTCATACTGCCCTATCCCTTCCTGGCAAGGCGGTGGCCATATTGTAGAACCAACATCATCCCCCACTCGTACTGTGAGCACATGGCCATGGTGAAGCTGGCCTGCGCTGATGTCCGCATCAGTAGTTACTACAGCCTCTCTGTGGCATTCTTGGTGATGGGTCTGGATGTGTTTTTTATCGCCATGTCCTATATCCAGGTCCTCAGGGCCATTTTCAGCCTCCCCACAAAGGACGCCCGGCTCAAGACTTTTGGGACCTGTGGCTCCCACCTCTTTGTCATCTTAGCCTCTTATATCCCAGCTCTCTTCTCCTTCCTCACACACCGGTTTGGCCACAACGTGCCCCTGCATTTCCACATTCTCATTGCCAGCGCGTATGTGCTTGTGCCCCCCATGCTACACCCCGTCATCTACGGGGTGAGGACCAAACAGATCCGGGACAGGCTGCTCCGGCTACTTACTCATAAAGGGATCTAAAATTTCCTCCTGGTGCTCTGGCTCTCAGACCGAGCTCCGTGCAGAGCTGGCTGGTGACATGATTCTGGGCCTTCTTCCCTGAATCACTTACTGGACAGTCAAAAAGACATTAAATCCTTTCCTGACATTACTGTGCTGGGTCAGCATGACAAACTGGGGAATAGGTCTATGACAATTCAGTGGGGTGCCACCTCTCTAATTGCTGGTAACTGGACCCTGACACCCCACCCCTTCCTCAGTTCTTCTGCCAAGGCCCCTTCCCTGCTTTACACTTTCCCCTCCAAGGCCCCGCCCCTGTTGCTTGCTCCTCTATTCCCCTCCCGCTGTCATTTGCAGGATCATTTCCACCTTCTTTCCCCAACCCCAGCTACAAGGGAGCCATTTCAGATTTTGGTGGGGGTGGCAACTTTAATCATGATTCCAAGGGCTACTTAGGGTCTTGAAAACTCTAGTTTTGCGGCAGATAACTTAGCAATTAGCTGACAGGAGCATTGTGTCTGATTTAAAGAAATAAAATAAATATTAGACCCACTCAGCTCTAATACAAACATGTTCTGACATCATGTGCCCAGTCACTTAAGGGACACTGGTTATGTTTAAGATATTAATATATATTCTTACTTTGTTACTAACTCTGCAGAGAGAGAGACCCCATCAGGACTTCTGGGTTTTATCTCAGCTCTGGGAGGGGAGTGAGGTCTAGTGCGTTACAGCGGGGGAGGGAGAGGGAAAGGGTGGAGATACATCTGGGGTTTCTATAAGAATATCAGAATGGACATACTGGGTCAGACTAATGGTCTATCTAGCCCAGTATCCTGTTTTCCAACAGTGGCCAGTTCCAGGTGCCCCAGAGGGAATGAACAGAACAGGGAATCATCAAATGATTCATACCCTGTTGCCCACTCCCAGGTTCTGGCAAACAGAGCTAAAGACAGCATCCCTGCCCATCTTGGATAATAGCCGTTGATTCAACTATCCTCCATAAACGTATCTAGTTCTTATTGGAACCATGTTATAGTTTTGGCCTTCACAAATTCCCCTGGCAAAGAGTTCCACAGGTTGACTGTGAAGAAATACTTCCTATTGTTTATTTTATACCTGCTGCTGATTAATTCTATTGGGTGACCCCTAGTTCATGTGTTATGAGAAGCAGTAAATAACACTTCCTTCTTTATTTTCTCCACACCAGTCATGATTTTTTAGCCCTCTATCATGTCCCCTCTTAGTCATCTCTCTTCCAAGCTGAAACATCCTCCTATGGAAGCCGTTCCATAACCCTAATCATTTCTGTTGCCCTTTTCTGAACTTTTTCCAATCCCAGTATATCTTTTTTGAGATGTGGCGACCACATTTGCATGCAGTATTCGCAATGTGGGCATACCATGGATTTATACAGAGCCAATATGATATTTTCTGTCTTATTATCTATCCCTTTCTTTATGATTCCCAACATTCTGTTCATTTGTCTGATTGCCACTGCACATTGAGCAGATGTTTTAACCCTATTAACTTACATTAGATTGTATGAGCTGTCTGTATCCTTATATCTTTGGGCTTTTCCTGAACTCTTCACTCATGCTCCTTGTACTAAGGGGCAGGAGGCTGGGATGGAGGTATCTGTCTATAAATAGGTTGTTCATTAAAGACTATCAGTCCTAACGAGATCTCACATGTACAGAGGAAGGGAGTAAATGCATTCTAGGTAAAACCAGTTTTCTCCAGCTTCTCTGTGGACTGGTGAGCACGGAAGGAATGGAACCTCCCAGAAGAGGGGACAGAAAGAGTAAGTGTTGGTCCAGTCCTTTAAAAACACAGAGACTGGATGAGTCTTAAGATGATGGAGCAGGAGAGTAGAACAAGGGCGGCAGAAGGGGCTCTTTCATTGCAGGGCTGTGGCTGCAGCAGAGAGAGAGACTCAAGGTGGAGGAGAAGCAATGAATTGCAGTAGGTGGTCACTAAACACCCTGGAGGGCTCTGACCAAATCCCAAAGTATGTTCCAGGATGGTGAGGACAAATTAATGCACACTGGAAAACAATCCCAACTATATATATGAAATCATGGGGTCTAAATTAGCTGTAACCAGTCAAGAAAGAGATCTTGGAGTCATTGTGGATAGTTCGCTGAAAACATCCAATCAATATTCAGCAGCAGTCAAAAAAGATTCAGAATCCCTGGAGAGACCCAGGGCAGTCTTGGCCAGAAGAACTCCACAGCTTCCGTCTGGAGTAGGTCCAGGATCCCCAAGGCTTGGCTCAGGGAGTTAAGCCACATCTGGACTTTCCCAGGAATATGGCTTAGCTGGTAAGGAACTCAGTCATGCATGGACATGTGACTTGCCCAGGTGACTCCAAAACTCCATTTTGTAGCTGGACTGTGCATAGGATAGAGGAGGGGGTCTTCACCCACAAGAGAAAGTCTATTTAAGCCCATGGGAGACCCCTCCATTTTGTCTTCAGCTGGCTAAAGAGAGAGCCTCTCCACCCCCAAAGATACCTGAAAGAAATTGGAACAAAGGACAGTGACTGCAAGGGGAGTGAATGATTGCTGGACCCAGACTAGAAGGAGATTAATCTGTAAAAGGGAGCATTCTGGAACTGGTGAGGATTTTATCTGTATTCAGTTGGATTTAGGGTGACCAGACGTCCCGATTTTATCGGGACTGTCCCGATATTTCCTTGTTTGTCCCACGTCCCGACCGATGTGCGGTCGGGACACTGGACAAACAAGGAAATGCTCCAGAGCCCGGAAGTGCTCACGCCCCCCCTGCCCCAACTCCGTCCCCTCCTCCCCCGATTGGCTCCCTCCCCGAATCCCCGCCTCTTCCCCAGGCTCACCATTCCTCCTCCCTCCACAAGCGCTGGAGGGAGGCCCGGGAGACGCAGGGGAAGCGCGGCGCCGGGGTGAGTGATAGTCCGGCCTGGCCCCGAGCAGGCAGGACTCAGTCGGGCGGTAGGAAGAGTAGGGGGGTGGCCCGCAGCCAGGCGGCGGCTGTTCTCCCCCCCCTGGGCAGCGGGACTCGGGAGCAGCTGCTGCTGCAGCTCCCACTGCCGCGGGGGGAGGAAGCGGCCGATGGCCAAGCTCAGCGGCTGCGGCTCTGGCGCCCGGGCCCGAACCCGGGCCTGCTGCAGGGACCCAGCAGCGCGCACGCTGCACTCAGCCCCTGGCCAGTCGCGTCTGGGCTGGCTGCCCAGCTGGTGCTATCCCGCGGTGGCCCCAGGGCGGAGGCATCGGCAGCCCAGCCCCGTTCGTTCCCCTGTGGGTCCCGAGCGGGACGGGGGGGTTGGGGCCTGCTGCCCCCACTCTGGGGCTGCCGCGGGATAGCACCAGCTGGGCAGCAGCCCAGACGCGACTGGCTCTTGAATAACTGTGATACAATTGTAACTCTGTAATTCCGTTTTACCATTTACTTACTATTTCATAGATTTCAATAAAAAGTCTTACCACTATACCTGTCTCCGTGTGAGCTTCCTGTCATACCACCGAGGGTCCCTTATAAAATTCTGTGGAGCCTGATTTGGGACAAGAACTTTAATCTTCTGATCAAACAGATTGGGGAGCCTAAACCCATACCCATTAATATTAACAATTGATTATGATTAATATTAATAATTGATTATTAATATTATTAATTAGTTAAATTAATTAAAATAAAAATAAATTAAGTTGCTAAGTTAAATCAACATTACTAACACACCCCAAATCAGGCTACAGGCAGCTGAGCTACCAGGGTGCAGCACCCGTCGACTGGGTTCAGGAGCCAAGGGGATGGGGATGGGGTGGGGGCCATCAATGATGCTGGGCCCGGGTGCCCCAATGAACTCAACACCTTCAACTATGGCGTCGGGCATGGTGGCATCCGCGATAGGGTCCCCAACTGGGAGGGGAGGAGGCAGCTCCGCCTTAGAAGGGGGAAAACCCGAGGGGTCAGGACCCGGCCCCTCAGCACCGACCATCACCACCAGGGTCTCAGCTGCCATGACCGAGGTGCCGTCTGCGCCGGGCAGATGGACAAAGCCAGGGGCACCCAAGGTCGAGAGTGGGGGCAGCAGCCTAGGGTAAGGGGAAGAGAGGAGGAGGGGGTCTATTCAACCACTGCAATGGTCTGTGTCTATTCGATCTCCCCAGTTCCCTTTATCACCCAAACTTGTTATTGCCTAAAAAAGTTATGAATTGTATTTAATTCTTTATTGACTAAATCCCTATCCACTTTTCCGTTTTTATGCCCAGGACTGCTGTCAAGCTACCAGGCATTTAGTACCAAATCATCCCTTTTTGAATATTGACATAACATTAGCTCTCTGTCAGTTTTCTGGGATATCCCTGGTGTTGTAATATTTATTAAAAATTAACATCAGCGGGGCAGAGAGCTCCTCAGCCAGCTCATTTTTCTGGGTGCGAGATATCTGGGGCTGCTGATTTAAAAATATTGATCCCTAGTAGGTGCTGTTTTCCCTCCTCCATAGCTACCAGTGGACTGCAAAGAAGCTCATGTCCATGAGTACAGCTTCCTGCTTCTTTCACATACAGCACAGAAAGGTTTACTGAACTTTTTTGCTCTTTGTTAATCATTATTAACAGTGTGACCATCTCCATCTAGTAAAGGCCTCTACCGCTCTTACGATTTCCTTTGTTTCTAATGTACTTACAAAGCTTCCTCTTTTTTCCTTTGCCCTGTTAGCCATGGATTAGTCTCTGGTGTCTTTTGCTTCCCTTAGCCATTTTCCATACTTCATAATTTCTAATTTCTATCCATCACGACGTTTCAGTCAAGATGGGATGTTTTTCTCAAAGATCTGCTCTAGTTCAAACAGGAACTGATCCAGGGCAGTCCTACGGCCTGTGCGATACAGGAGGTCAGAGCAGATGATCACAATGGTCCTGCCTGGCCATATAATCTACAAATCTATCCAGAGTCCCCTGCAAGGATAATATTTGTGTGGGCCTCAGTCTGTGTCCCTGTCACACTCTGGGTGCCACATTTTGGATCTGGGCAGGTTG